GTATTACATTTATTAAGCCTTCTTAAAATATTTGTTGATTAAAATACTGTAAAATGAAATTAAATATATTACATTTGTTGGTGAAGATAAAAAGGGAATCAACTTGTCAACTTGTAAAAAGAGTCAAATATTATCAATAGTCTCTGAAAAGGGTAGTTAAACTTGCCCAATTTGTAAACAGAATACTATGACTTGTAAGCTGAACTGAAGACCTAAGTTTTTAATTTATTCCTTTAGTAAATTGAATATGAATTCTTTTTTTTTGATTTCAGCATTTTATGGGGGTACAGATGTTTAGGTTATGTATGTTGCCCTTGCCTCCCCACTCCCCACCAAGTCCGAGTTTCAAGTGTGCCCATCCCTTGGATGGTGTGCATTGCACTGTTTGTGTATGCAAATACCCATCCCCTCCTCCCCTCTGCCCGACATCCAATAGATGTTATTCTTATATGTACACTTATGTGTTGATCATGAATATGAATTCTTAAAAGCAATATAGTCTATGAATAACTTTTTAATGCATAAAAACCATCTTCAAGGAAATAAATTATAATGGAGAACTCTTACCAGCTGGTAGATAGTTTGCTAAGGTCACATGGCTAGCAAGCAGCAGAGGCAGGATTTAAACTAGAGAACTTCATGCCCACCCCCACTGCACCCAAGCAGGAAGTGAAACCACCCCACATTACTTTATTTTCTACTGACACAATTTTCTTTCCTACTAATCTGTGAGCAACATGACTGCAGATACTTCCTTTCGTCTTTATATCCCCAGACCTTAGCACAGTGCCTCTATGGCACCTGGCAGGAGCTTGATATGTGTGTGTGTTGAGTAAAGGAGTGAGGAGAACCCAGGGAGAGTATTGTAGTATCCTGGAGTCCAAGAGAAGAGAGTATTTCAAGCAGGGAGGGTCCCGTGTCAAATGCTACAAGGCGGTTTTGTTAGTCAGGGGTCTCCTTAGAAAGAGTACCCTGAATATATATTTATTTCCTTTTTTTTTCTTTTAATAGGAATTGGCTCATGTAATTATGGAAGCTGAGAGGTC